TAATAAGCTCAAACAGACATCTTGGATTCAACTATCTGGCAGCTAAGATACAAGAATTCTAGCATGGAGAAGGGAGGAAAAGAGAAGTAGGGACGGTGCGAGACATTGTGGGAGATAGGTTCGCTAAGGGTCACATGGTGTCAGGTGACAGATCACGTGACGGGTCGAGATCAAGATCTGGACTGTCACATAAGGTTTAATATTATTATTAACTATAAGAATCTAGAGTACTTTATAGTTTAAAGATAACTAAATAAATAATAGGCTTACTAATTAGATTTACTTAGTTTAACTACTAGCTAGTCTATTAGCCTAGTAAGCTAGCTATAAGGCTAGATATATTATTATAAAAAGACTAAGATATACCTAATAATAATAATAACTATCTGTCACGTGGCGGCCAGCCGTTGCATTCACTTTCCGCTGACAGCGGAGGCTTGGCAGGGCGGAACCCACGTTTCTCCGGCTCCGAGCGCACACAACAATATAAGTGTTGCTAAGTTAGACAGCTTGAGAAGAACTAGGCTGTGGCAACATCCACAACATATCTAAATCCGCATATCCAAATCCGCATATCCGTGGATATAGATGTAATCTGATATCCACATATCCGCAATAATATGATATAGATAGTAAATAGTATCCGCAGTATAGATTTGGATATTTTGCGGATAGGCAAATAATATAAACATGGCTAAATCCATTACTACATAATTTATGCATGTTTTGTTTGTAATTTATTGTTCTAGGGGTGTATAGAAAAGTCACCTTTTGGTAGACATGAAATATTCTAGGTTGCGGTGATCAGTTATAACCTTGATTGGCGATGGTGTACCCTCTAGCTCAGGGCGCCACTCTTTAAAACAGTAGACGATGACAAGCAACTCTTTATCATAGATCTTATAGTTACATTCAGTGACAGAAAGCTTCTTAGAGAAGAATGCAACAGGGTGCAGGACTCCTTTATCATCATACTAGGACATCACACCAGCAGACACGTAATCAGAAGAGTTAGTCTTAATAATGACGTCTCTCGTCCAGTCGAATGGTTTCAGGATTAGGGTGTTTATGAATGCCTTCTTTAGGGCTTTAAAGCTTAGTTTGCAGGTTATGGTCCATATAAATAGGACATCCTTCCTAGTCAGGTTCACCAAGGGAGCAATAATCTTTGAGAAATCCTTGATAAATTGCCAGTAAAAGTTGCCAAAACTAATAAAGGCCTGAACATTAGTAACGCAGGTCAGGACTTGCCAGTTGACAATTATTTTCACCTTATCAGGGTCCATGCGGATGCTATCCTGGCTAATGATAATACCTAAGAATTCGATTTTAGGGATAATGAACTTGCATTTCTGGATCTTCGTGTACAGGCTAGCTTCTCATAGTTTCTGCAGGACGGAGCAGACATGGGTTATATGCTCAGCGTGGGTCTTGCTATAAACCAGGATATCATTAAGGTAGGTAGTGCAGAAGACATCAAGGTAATCTCGCAGGGTATCATTAATAAATCACTGAAAGGTTACAGGTGCTCCCGTCAGCCTAAAGGGCATTACCAGGGACTTAAACAGGCCTAGTCGGGTACAGAAAGCTGTCAGGTATTCTTGTCCTTTCTTAATGCAGATATTATTAAATGCTGAGATGATATCAATCTTCATGAAATATTTCATCCCTTTCAGGTTATTCAGGGTTTCCTTTGTCAGGGGCAGCGGGTATCAATCCTTAACAGTCATAGCATTCAGGGCTCGGTAATCAACGCAGATTTGTATGCCTCTGCCTGGCTTTTTAACAAACAGGATAGGCAACGCGGCGGGTGATGAACTAGGGCGGATGAAGCCCTTCCTCAGGTTCTCTTCGATCCATTCCTTTAGGACTTTCAGTTCTTCTCGAGACATGGCATACAGGGGGCCAAACGGGAGGGTCTTTCCCTCTAACAGCTTAATGTCGTGGTCGTAGGGGCGGTGTGGTGGCAGGCGCTCAGCCTCCTTAGGGGAGAAAACATCGGCATAGTCTTTGAATTCTTCAGGTAACAGGTTGGTGAGGTCTTCCTTCTGAGCTTTCTTAATCCTTAGGGCGGCTTCAAGATCTTCTAGGGTAATTGTGAACATCTGAGCATTTCTTCGGGCGTAAGCTGAACAGGCTGCTAAGGAGATAAAAGCTATATCTCTCTTCTCCAGTCCCTTCAGTCTCGGGGGCAGGTATCTAGGCTGGGTCTTCGGGGGAATGTCATGCAGGGCTTGTATCTTAGTTAGCTTCTGGGGGGTGTTGCAGTATTTCTGGCAGTAATTGCTATCAAATATAATGCTGTGGGCTGCGAATCATATCAGGGGGTTGTGTACCTTCATCTAAGGTATTCCTAGCACAACAGGGTAGTGTGCTAACTGGACAATGTAAAACCTTGCGTCTTTCTTGAAGTGATCCTTAATTCTCATATCCATCTGGACATAATGGGTTATCTTCCCATTCTCTGGTTCTCTTCCATCAAATGTGTGCAGGGTTATCGGGTCTTCTAGGGGGATGGGCTCTAGCTTCTGGTCTTCAGCCCATCCTTGGTCAATAAATCCTCGTCCTTCAGCTCCGGTGTCTAACAGGGCGTAAGTCGGTAACTTTATCTTCTTCTCTTCCTTTTCCAGGGTCACAGGTAGTATCATGGCTTTTGATCGTTGTATTTGTTCCTCAAGGTCAAGTCCATAAACGGCGGCGGCAGAAATTCGAATAACGCGCGATTCCTGAGCCTGGTCGCGGCTTACTCCAGGCTCACTCCTTTTACCGAGGAGGTCTGGCTGGGCGATGGGCTTCTAGATTCTGGGATCCGTCCTCTCTGGGGACTCTCCGGGCGTGGTTCATAAGAGGCCATGATTTGAACTCTCTGACGGGTATCAGGGTAGGGGCAGTCCCTGATCTGGTGTTCCAGGGAGCCACAACGGAAGCAGGCGCCTGTCTCACGGCGGGAGGGGCTATATCCCCTTCTCATCGGGCGTTGGGTAGTACCTAGGTCCATGGGGTCGTATTGTTGCGCTGGCGTATGCTCGTTCCTCTGAATGGTAGGGCGCCAGGGTTGCTTGGTAGGCTTAGCAGCGACAGGGCTAGGGCCTTGGGGTGACTGGGGACGCTGAGTAGGTCTGGCAGTAGCAGCATAGGTCTTAACAACAGGAGGCTGGTTCGTGGTGTACTGGCGGCGGTGGTTCTCAAGGTCCTGCAGGAATCTGGCAAACTGGTGATACTCCCGGCTTGGGGGCTGGTTGTGCATAAGCATGCTTCGGAGTTCGTGACTAATAGCTTGTTCAAGCAGGGTAGACAGGGTTTCTTCAGGCATCTCGCCTTCAAGGGCTAGGCGCTGAAATTCTGCGAAGAA